TCTGATTGAGCTGTGACAAAGCTTTTATTTAGGTACAACAAATCCAAAAGAAAGCGCAGTGGTACTGATGCTGATAATGTGAAATGAATAAAACTACTTACTCTTGAACTGCAGCTAAAAGGCAGGCTGGAGTAGAAAAGTAATACAGTAACGTAATAATGTCACATACTGTATATAAAAGTGGATCAAACATAGCTAATAACTATTAGCTTAAACCTATGATTTTTACACTGCATAAATTAGTCTAGCAGCTAGTGGACTTTCCCTGTTCTCATAGCTTAACAAATTACATGTATTTATATATATATATATATATATATATATATATATATATATAGGGTGGTGTTTTGTCCACCCTGTTAGGCTAATAGACCTCTGTCCACGCTGTTATGTTGGTATTTTTCCTTCGTAGTTTATTGAAATTACCAAATATTAAGTGTATATTTGTATTTACATAAAGATATGGAAGGGATTGACTACACAGGCAAGAGACATTGAGTAATTATCATAATTCACTTTTCCTGAGGGGGAGAAAAAGTGGAAAGATACATCCCCTTTTCATTATGTGCGTTTTAATGCGTTTGTTTTAATCATTATAGGCCTAGCCTATACTGTTCAAAAAATATTTTATTGTAAAACAAATATCTAATAAAAGTGAGGGACATATGATTTCTATAAAAATGTAATTTTTAGTTGCAATCATACCCTGAAAACACTTGTTATGTTTAAGTCCTTAACAGGTTGTTAATACCTATATTTAATACAATAAAGGTGCCTGAGCTCAACCAATATGTTTTTCATAAAGTTAGATATATACTTTATATAATAGAACTTTAATACCTATATAAAAAAATATAGGTAAATCTAGTATTTATTTATCCTAAGTTATTAAGTCCAAATGGCACCCTATAAAAAAAATTACCCATGACGTAAACACGTAAGTGCGAGCCCTCCATAGAGATTGCATTGCAGCGCCCGCAGTTCGAAAAAAACCGCCTTAACATGAAAGTCTATGAGAGCGATCCTAGCGATTTTCAACCTGAAATTGCGGACTTCGCGGAACACGGCTTCACGCTGATTGGACTACGATATTCAGAGCCAAACTGTCTGTCAGAAACAGTCACAGCTGTTAATTAACAGTGTGGTATAAAGTGTGAGAAAAATCCGGTTTGGTTGTGCGTCGTGCATGTCAAACTGTCCTTGGGCAAGATACTGAACCCCAAATTGCCCCCTGAAAATCAAATTCATTAGGCTAGCTCTAAATCATGTTTTCAACATTTCGGCACCGCCTTCTGATATGTTACCCTAAGTTGAAAAATGGTTTTATTGGCGGTTAATAAATGATTCATGGTGAAAAATTCTAGTGTAAACAAAAAAGATGATACTTGAGCCACATTTTGGCAACAACTGGCATTATATCAGCACATTAAATTAGGTTGTGGTGTTGTTCAGGGATTTGCTTAGTTGCAGTAATACTGTGAAGCCACTGCACTATAACAAGTGGGCATTTTTAAAGATGACTAATGCACATTCCTCTAAACTCAGCACCTACAGTACATACCTGAATCTTTCATCAAAGGGGTGAGTAGTAGAGGGTGACATCTGCTGACCAACTCTGTGCAGTACAGCTGTGAGAGGCCAAGGCAGGTGATCTGATGTCTCTGCATTTACAAAGTAAATTCAGGACAGCTTGATAATACACAAACAGCATACCAGGTCCTAATCATTCTGGTTCCCTTCATTTGGTTAAGTGAATGTAATCCCCACAAAGCTCTCAGCACAATCTGCACCCCAAGCACGATATGTTATACAATAATGCACAGGGTAGTGTTCTATAGGACAATAAAGTACTTAAGGCTGAAATAAGTTCCCCATAGTCATGTATTGTTGTTGTTCTGTGATGTGCAGGAGTCAGCAGGATCTTTTGTGTGAGTTGATTGTATTCTCTTTTGCCTTGTAGCTCCATCAGACCCCCTGATGTCATAGAAAGAACACATTGTTTCACAAGATCACCCATTTATTTAAACTCAGACCCGAGACTAGTGCTTTTTGGAAACCTCTGGAAATTAAACTTGATGCTTGCTGGCTGATTAAACATTAGAGTAATGATCTGCAGCTCAACTATAAATCCAAACAGTCATATTCCCATGTCATTCTCAAATTTGTTTGTGGCTCTTTAATGTTGCCACTGGTGAAAGAAGTACTCAGATTTTTTACCTCAGTATAAGTAGCAATACCCAGTGTAGGAATACTCGGTTACAGGCAAATGTCCTGAATTCAAAATGTTACTAAATGTACAAAGGTATGGGCATCAAAAAAATTATACAGTTACAAATGATTACGAGACAATTAATGTATGTTATAATTAACTTAATTCTCACGTCCAATTAATATTTTTTTACTTCTACTGAAACATAGCCTATATCTAACCACAGTATACTGTACAGTTTTATAAGCACATAAATGAGTATGATAAACTTACCCAGAAAAGTAACCCAAAAATATTACGTGTAGGGCCTACAGGTCTACTAAGGTTACACTGACATCAAAAACATACTTTAAGTATAGGCTAATGATTAGCCTAGTGATAATTTAATGAATGCATACATTTAGTGGTATGGTCATTCTACATTTATTTATCCAATAAATTTGGTCAAATTATTTTAAATTGGTGTTGATTAAAATCACTAAAACAAATCTGGAGTAGGGCTTCATAGTAAAGCACTTTATACTATATAAAACCGATCTTAGTACATAAGTTTTACTTCTTCGTACTCCTTTTCGCACATGTAAAGTATGTTAACACAGGAAAGAAGGGTACTTTTGCTGCTCATCTGTTGTTTTTTCTCCTATTGTTTTTAAACCTTGTCTTATTTTTTAATACTTTCTCTTGCATGTTCGAAACAAAGATTTCAATTAAAAAAAATTCAATAAATTGATTTCAGCAATATGACGGTCCAGTGAGTATCGTTCCTGGAGCTGGAAAATGGAGTCAGAGGAGCTTGAGGAGAGCAAAGCACAAAAAGGTAGAAGAAAGGTAGAGTGTCAAGTGATGCCAGCCAGACGAAAGTAACAGATCAGACGTAGCCTATCGTGTATCGATGATAGCTGTGACACGGACTGGATCTTCAAAGATTCGCATGAGGTTGGAAAGTTTGTCAGAGGAAAACTTGAAGAGGTCAATAAGGATAACAAGAAGTCTGATGGTTATTACTGATTGTGTGTCAAGGCGACAGAAAGATAAAGCACTGAGGATTGATGAGTATTCAGATCATAGCAGTTTGAACTGCTTCCCAGTCAGGTCAGAGATCAAGAGAAAAGGAGTGATAAGTGGCGTACCGCTGTCAGTGAAGGACATGGCATTTCGGAGTATTGAAAATGTTTGTGAAGTGAGAAGATTTCGACAAGGGGAGAGAGAGGAAAGTTATTCGGGGTTATGAGGGGGAATTGCCAGAAAGAATATATTTAGATTAGGCCTATGTTACAGGGTGAGGCTGTGTGAAAGAGCTCCACTGAGGTGCTTCTGCTGTCAAGAATATGGACATGTTGCTGCAGTATGTAGAGAAGTCAAAAGATGTGGGAGATGTGGGATGAACAGCTGTAAAAGAGGGGAGTGTGAAGAAGAGCAGGAGCAATTAAAGTGACTACACTGTGCGGGAAATCATCGTGCGAGGTCAACACAATGTCCGAGATGAATAAAAGAAATTAAAGTTAGTAAAATTAGAGTGGAAGATGGTCTGTCGTATTACCTAAGCTTCCGTGAGAATTGATAGAAAGGAGGAACGAGTGGAAAAAAAAACAGGAGCCCAAAAGGAATGGAGAATATCAGAATATAGTCTGCATGGACAAGAAGCACTTTATGACAGACACACATTATGATACTGGAATAAGAATTACAATTGTCTTTCTTTTGGTTTGTTTTATTTTGGCCTTGCTGTAATTGAATGCTGTTTCAACACCGCTTTATGTTCCGGATTGTTGAAATATGCTATAAAGTGTTTTCTTCAATAATAAAAAAAATCACCGACCATGACGCATAACCTAAAGGATTTTGATCACCATGTAAGTTACCATTGACTTTTAAGCCTTTTCTCTCTTGCCATAACTTGCTAATATGCCTATGGCCCTATGTCTTAAACTGTCAACAATAACTGAGGCCAATGCGAGCTATGTAACTGGTCTGGTTGTAAAATGATCTAAACATGGATAATGTTGCAGCCTGTAGGCTCCCGTATGTAGCCTATTGCCAGCCTTCAGAAATATCATTAAGGCCTTAATTAATGGCAATGATCAAGCTGGATGACCTCTACAGTAAATGTAATGTAGGCTATTATTTCATTGTTTCCCACACATTGATTTGTATATTCCCTCAACACCTCCTCTCTCTCTCTCGCCACAGTTATGCTGCCATTCTGTGGGAAACACTGTGTTTACAGACAATAATTGGGATTCATGGTGATTAAAAAATAGGTGGGTGCAGGAGGGGCAGGAGGGTGCATGTGAGCAAACATTCTCAACGTGACAACCTTTCCATTATTTTCATATTTTGCTATCTTGATTATGAAGTAGGCTAATATTCCACCTTGTTGTCCACCTTTAGATGGCCTGCATTTAAACAAGGGGCGCAGTGTCAAAGATGCGCTTTTTGTAGTCCATCTTCTGGATATTGTAGTTTCATCACGGCGTCGCCTAAGAGCAGTCCGATTCTCTGAGCCCCGCGGTCCTCTTTTCCTAAGTCCTTATGAATTCTCCTTCACATCTTTCCTTGACCTCGTGGAGTTTTCTATCGAGGTTAAGGAAAAGTGGTTAGGAAAGGAGAATTTTTTGACTTTTCAACCGCAGCCCTGCTCTCTCTCTCTCTCTCTTTTGTTTTTCCCCGTCTTTCCTCCTGTTCGGTCGGACACACCCACCTCCTGATTGCGGCCACCTGTTCAAGTCTTTAAAAGCCATGATGAATGCAAGCTGGCTCGCTCTTCCTCCTGATCTTCCTTCTGGAAGGCGGGTGCCTTTCAGGAGCTCCTTTTTGTTTGTTTTTGTTTTGTTTTTTTTGAGTAGAACTATGTTGAGTTTAATTGTGTTTTGAGTTAATTGTAAGTTGAGCTATCTTTAATAAATCCTTTTGTTCATTTAAACTGTTTTCTATGTGGACTCTTTGACATCAACTCAGACAATTGAGTCTCAGTCATAAAATTGACAATGTATGGTGGTCAACGTAAATTGTTTGCATTTTGGATGCCAACCTCCATAAAACCTTGAAGAAGAAGAAGGATGGTCCAGTCCAGTTCCAACAGCGCCGTGCACGCGCTGGGCCCCATTGCCTGGCCGCGCTCCTTCACAGTGAACGCGCACGACAGCACGGCGCCGTCTCCCTGCCGTTTCGTTGTCAGCAGGGCACAGACATGGCTGCTCTCAGCAAAATACCGCACAACTGTTACGAGATCGGGCATACCTGGGACCCGTCGTGTGTGCAATCTGCTTTGGATATAACCAGGGGCGCTCTGGAGGTGTCCTTTAAAATTTACGTCCCCCTTTACCTGGTAAGTTCTGCCTTTCGAACTGCAATGTTTGGCCTTGTAACGTTAGACTCTGAAGCTAATGTTAGCTAACAAAGTATGCTAAGGCTAAACTTACAAGTTCAGAGAAAACGTCTGTAAAGATTAGCTGACATGTCGCTAGATTACATTGGGGGGCTAGGTTCATGCACATGCACGAACGTAGTGAAAGAGGCAAAAACACTGCACACGAGTTATAATGGGATTGTTAACGGGTTTATCAGCAGACAACTGGAAACACAATCTGATAAGTTGTACCAACCGACGAATTTCAAAATTAACTCGTTTGACTTGTTTGATAAGATCCCTTTGCAGTTGAACAACATTGAATTCCCCCCCCCCCCCCCCCCTCAACTCTCATGCAATGATTTGGCAAACAGTGACTGCCACTCAACTCTGTATTGCAGATAGCAGCAGTTCTAAGGAGAAGGAAGAAGGATTACTATTTAAAAAGGCTTCTCCCAGAGATCCTATGGTCTACCTCTTTCCTCACTGCCAATGGAAGTCTCTACATTGTTTTCTTCTGCGTTCTCAGGTGACATGCTGGGACTTCAGAAGCTAAATTGATGCATCTGTGGATCAGTGCAAATGTTTGTCATTGAAGCTGAAGATTTAAAGGTTTACACCGCAACATGAAATAAGCAGATTCAGACAAGGCCATAACCTAAGCAGTCTGTCTGTGTGCCTAACAACAAGTGTGTTGCATTTTCAGAGCTGTTTTGCGTGGGTCCCTGTTTTGTTTATCTTGAGGATACGCATGTGCATGCATGTTCTCTGCACATTGTTACACAGTGTACCTTTTCAAGCTCAAAGGGCTACACATTACTGCAAATAACTATTTTAAAGATTGGTGTTGCCAGTGTGTTTGAATCAATTACTTTCTAGTTAAAAAGAAATGAACAAGAGTGAAATGACGCTGTATGTTTCTAACTTTAGGAAACTGTTGGGAGGGTTCTACTCCTGGTCTGCCGGGTTTGGCGCAGCACTGCCTGCCTCCTACATTGCCATCCTCCTTGAGCGCAAGAGCAGGTGAGATTCCCGTCTTTATTTCCACTAGATTTGTCTTGGTTGTCCTTTTCTGAGTCTTTTTTTGTTTCATGTTTTGAACTAAAGCACATCTGACTGCCAAGTACAATACTGCACAAGAATGGCAGATGGTTATTGGGTACATCTCAGTTATCAGACGTGGTCTTGTAAATATTGATTCTTTGTTTACTGAGAATATACATGTCTTTCCCTTTTCTACCACCTGCCAGGAGAGGGCTGCTGACAATATACATGACAAATCTTGTAAGAGCTACTCTGTTCAATTAAACATTATTTATTATACAGAGATATATCAGATTTTTGCCACACAATGTATATGTGACTGTGTAATCTTGTTGTCAGGCAATTGAGACTTTGTTCCGCATGGCAGTGACACGAGGCGTCATCCAACCCATCAGACATGGCGAGGTAAGCTGAAAGGGAGCTTTGGGAGAGCTGAAAGTGTAGGGAGTTAAGAAATGTGACTTACTGGCTAAGTAATATAATACAGGAGGACCCCTTGTCTTTTAGGTTTGCTTGAGTGTTGAGTATGTGATGGGAATCACAGGAGGATTTCATCCGTGGATGAGGCCAAGCTTGTCTTTTTCCTGACGTTGTGATTTGCTGCATTTCATAATTACCGCAAAGCTAACGTACAGTGTGATCCATCAGTGCCACTTACTGAGCTGAATCAGACACATCTCGTCTCGTTAGCATCTGTATTGAGGGTTGGGTTGAGCAATATGTTAAAATTTTCAAACCAGCTACTGTCAGCCCACCAACCGGTGAGTGCCCATATATCTGCTCAGATGTGTGTACCGCGCCTTGTTAAGTCATTGTAAAAGCATCTTGGTATTTCCACTGACAAACACCACATCTGGTTTGGTCGAAATAATTCAGAGTTGGATGTGAAAACATTCTGGCTCTCCACACTGTTTCCCCCACTGTCTGAACATGAGTCTGTCACTGAGCAGCGGCTCTCACTTGTTCATTAAATTAGCAAAATGAAAATAAAAATCACCCAAAAATGACAACCGATTGCTGAATATATTCTTCCAATTTTCCAACCCTAGTGGCTGCGGGGGAATGTTTCCGACTCGTGTGATCCAAACATTTCAATAACTCCAGAGTGTCCAAAAGTCAAAATTTATTAAACTGATGGATGTATTCATTTCCAAAATGCACAACATGTGTTCATCTAACGAAATAGTCAGCTTCAGTCCATTTTCACTGCCGTGTTCTCTCCTGCTTGCCGCACACAAAGGTAGGCATGCACCTGTAACAACGGGGCTGTCTAGCAGAAATCTTACGGCACCATAACTGACCAGTTATATTCATTAAAGAAAGTTGATGTAATAAAAAAAACACTAACTCATTTTATGCGATGTATCACTTTTGAGGATGGTGTTAGTGGATATTTTATTTTCTTAAGCAGGATGGCATCATAAAATATGACGACAGACATTGAAAGCTGTGAGATGGCAGAAAGTTATGAAAAAACTGATGACACCCATGCCTTGGCTCCAGTAGAGATTGGATTGTTTCTTTAAATGGCAAAGGCAGGCTTTGCCAGACTGCAGCATGGTAGTAAAAAAAAGTCTCGTGGCCAGATGCTTACATGTCAGCTGTTGTCCTGAGGCCTCTTTTTTGTCCCCCCCCCCCCCTCTAGGTGCTCTTGTTTTGCATAACTGCATCGCTCTACATGTTCTTCTTCAGGTCAGAGCAGCACAGTACACAGATTCTCACAGTGAAATGTGATTCAGTGGTCATGATGATATTAATAGCCTTCAAATATTTTAAACAAGAGCAAATGTTTAGAATTTGAGCTAAACGTTGTGTTTTACACTGCAGGAGCAAAGATGGTCTCAAAGGCTTTGCATTCTCTGCATTAAAGTAAGTACTTGTTCCCACTGATGCCTTGATTTAGATTAGGGACAAGTGTTTTGGTAAAGAGGCAGTGTGCACGTTCTATCACAGGTTCATCATTGGGAAAGAAGAGATTCCAACTCACTCTGTCACGGCTGAACACAGCTGCACAAGGCCCATTGAGAGGACAGAAGCGGAGGATTCCCCAGCATCAGCAGACAGGCCCAGCTCCAGGAGGAAAACACTGGTAGCCTACACCAGTGCACTGCTAGAATCAATGTGAGAGAACGGACGGACTGACTCATTGACACATGGGTTTGTACGGAGTGCTCAGCATTAACTCGTGTTTTTCTCTTACAATCCAGATGCAAAAAAGGTCCAAGACACAGATGTTGTAAACATTACCAGGACAGCTGCATTTCCTACTGTGTTAAAGTAAGACACTTTTGTTATGATGGTGGATGTATATTTGTGAAATTCTTTAATACAATATTAAATACCCCGCCCCCCCTTCTTTCATTGTCCAGGGTTTTGTCAGGATGTTCAGTGTGGGCTACCTGATTCAGTGTTGTCTTAAAGTGCCCTCAGCATTCAGGCAGATGTTCTCTAAACCCTCACGGCTCCCCTCCCTCTTCTACAACAAAGAGAACTTCCAGCTAGGGGCCTTTCTAGGATCTTTCGTCAGTATTTACAAGGTACGTGTCACATTTTGTTCTATTTTTATTTTTGTATGACATCTTAGCTGTTTACATTTTGTCCTCGCTGTATATTCTGTCCTTGCCTTTCCTTGCTTCCAATTTTTGCTTTTAGGTTGGGAAAAATATTTACAAACAATTGTCACATGTTAATTTTAAATATAGAAACTGTAGTGTGTGTGTGTGTGTGTGTGTGTGTGTGTGTTAAAGGGAACACTTAAACAACACAATGTAACTCAAAGTCAATCAAACTGTCCACTTAGGAAGCAACACTGATTGGCAATCAATTTCACATGCTGTTGTGCAAATGGAATAGACAACAGGTGGAAATTATAGGCAATTAGCAAGACACCCCCAATAAAGGAGTGGTTCTGCAGGTGGTGACCACAGACCACTTCTCAGTTCCTATGCTTCCTGGCTGATGTTTTGGTCACTTTTGAATGCTGGCGGTGCTTTCACTCTAGTGGTAGCATGAGACGGAGTCTACAACCCACACAAGTGGCTCAGGTAGTGCAGCTCATCCAGGATGGCACATCAATGCGAGCTGTGACAAGAAGGTTTGCTGTGTCTGTCAGCGTAGTGTCCAGAGCATGGAGGCGCTACCAGGAGACCAGGAGACCGTAGGAGGGCAAAACCCAACAGCAGGACCTCCTGCTCCGCCTTTGTGCAAGGAGGAGCAGGAGGAGCACTGCCAGAGCCCTGCAAAATGACCTCCAGTAGGCCACAAATGTGCATGTGTCTGCTCAAACGGTCAGAAACAGACTCCATGAGGGTGGTATGAGGGCCCGACGTCCACAGGTGGGGGTTGTGCTTACAGCCCAACACCGTGCAGGACGTTTGGCATTTGCCAGAGAACACCAAGATTGGCAAATTCACCACTGGCGCCCTGTGCTCTTCACAGATGAAAGCAGGTTCACACTGAGCACATGTGACAGACGTGACAGAGTCTGGAGACGCCGTGGAGAACGTTCTGCTGCCTGCAACATCCTCCAGCATGACCGGTTTGGCGGTGGGTCAGTAATGGTGTGGGGTGGCATTTCTTTGGGGGGCCGCACAGCTCTTCATGTGCTCGCCAGAGGTAGCCTGACTGCCATTAGGTACTGAGATGAGATCCTCAGACCCCTTGTGAGACCATATGCTGGTGCGGTTGGCCCTGGGTTCCTCCTAATGCAACACAATGCTAGACCTCATGTGGCTGGAGTGTGTCAGCAGTTCCTGCAAGAGGAAGGCATTGATGCTATGGACTGGCCCGCCCGTTCCCCAGACCTGAATCCAATTGAGCACATCTGGGACATCATGTCTCGCTCCATCCACCAACACCACGTTGCACCACAAACTGTCCAGGAGTTGGCGGATGCTTTAGTCCAGGTCTGGGAGGAGATCCCTTAGGAGACCATCCGCCACCTCATCAGGAACAAGTCCAGGCATTGTAGGGAGGTCATACAGGCACGTGGAGGCCACACACACTACTGAGCCTCATTTTGACCTGTTTTAAGGACATTACATCAAAGTTGGATCAGCCTGTAGTGTGGTTTTCCACTTTGATTTTGAGTGTGACTCCAAATCCAGACCTCCATGGGTTGATAAATTTGATTTCCATTGATAAAGTTTGTGTGATTTTGTTGTCCGCACATTCAACTATGTAAAGAAAGGCGTATTTAATGAGATGATTTAATTCATTCAGATCTAGGATGTGTTATTTTATTGTTCCCTTTATTTTTATGAGCAGTGTATTTCTGTCTCCTGTCTCTGATTTGTATTCTCAATGTCATCTACTCACATATTTCAGTGTTTATATTGGTTAGTGTCTCTTGTGGTGGTATGTATTATATTTTGATATTTTTTTTTTTTGGTTGACAGAAAAAAAGCATATACAATATACACACTTTGATTTGAGACACACACACACACACACACACACACACACACACACACACAGTATAATATTTTTCTTTTTTACTTTTTTCTTCTTCTTTCATTCAGGGAACAAGCTGCTTGCTGCGCTGGCTGCGTAACATTGACGATGAACTCCATGCACTGATAGCCGGTAAGATAGGATTATGTAAACTGTCAAAAAAGATTATTGTAGAGCAGTCTTTCTCTAGATTTTGCCATTTTTCAGCTGATTACTCTGTTTTCACAACCCCCCCCCACCCCGATCTTTCAAGGCTTCCTGGCTGGTACCTCAATGTTCTTCTACAAAAGCACAACAATATCTATGTATCTCTTCACTAAGCTGGTGGAGGTAAGATAAAATCTCTGTGCGCATGAAGCAGATTCATACATTGTGTCACAAAAAGCAAGTGTTCGAGAAGATATACACACCAAAATAAATCCCTCAGCTCGAGCATAGCCACACATTATTCTGTATCGCACAAAGTAAAATTTCACCACTCAAATAATAAAGGCATGTATTAATATGTAAAGTATTAATGCATCAATAAATACCAAATAGATAACAGAAAATTGCATGGTAATATTTTATTGTACATGTCTGCTAATGTGAATATTTGTGTTGGATAGTTTATCATTAACAGCACATGTAGTAATAATCTCTCTTTAGACCATGTACTTCAAGGGCATTGAGGCCGGACGGTTCCCTTACTTTCCTCATGCAGACACGGTCCTATATGCCATCTCCACTGCTATCTGTTTCCAAGCTGTAAGTAACGCATGCATGCCTACTCGCATAAATATGCTTCATACACATTTTTGTCTTTTGTTTTGCTGAGTAAGGATATAATGTATGACTTGTTACTGTTACAGACTGTGATGGAAGTGCAGAACCTCAGGCCTTCATACTGGAAGTTCCTGCTGCGGTTAACTAAGGGCAGGTATGAATGGAACCTGCTGTGGAATCTGTCAGCTGTCAAACAATGTTTTTTTTTTTTTTTTTTGGTTTTTTTGAGAATCGGTCAGAACACCAACTGCACCTTACTAAAGTGTTTTATTTTTAAATTGCGTATCCTTTTCAGAGATAAGTGGCGACTTCATTTACCACAATGCTTTGTTGTTGTTACCTCTCTTTTGACTTTAAAATTCCATTATGAACACGATACAGATTTTCTGATTATTAGACAAGGTTTAAAGTTGGAGTGAACATATTCCTGATGATGACTGAACTGCAGAGATGACATTGTGACGTACTGTGGAGAAATGTCATTAGTTATTAATTAGGCTGCAACTCATAGTGTGCAAGAAGTAAATTAAAGTAGACCGTATGTAAGGTAGTAGCTATTCCATATAAATTTAATCAAATTCTTTCTCTTTATATTAACTATAGTGGGACTGTATATGTTCCTATCAAGGTAATCTGTTAGAGTTGGATTTTTTTCAGGGTGGTACAGAGATTTTTTTTAAGTTTTTTTCCCCCTCTCCTAGGTTTGCTCTGATGAACCGACAGTTGCTTGATGTGTTTGGGACTCACGCCTCCAGGGACTTTAAAGGCTTTGTGCCTAAACTGGACCCTCGTTTCACCACGGTGCTTCCACCAGGACCCGACATCCAACTCGGCTGACCTGGGATCAGGCTCGGGGAGGGGCTTTAGGGTTAGGACAGGACGTGGACAGTCTGGCAGTTCTTTCTGAAAATTTTAAGGATTTTTGACAGGTATACATTAGAAGTGGTGATGTCAGGTTATGAGATGGAAAATGCGTCGGAGGATGTAAAGCCCAAGATATGCCCAAAGCAGGGTCTCATGAGTGTCAAGTGTGGTGTTGCACAAGCACATTCACTGATTGGAATTGTATGGATACTGGTAAAATAAATGAAATGCATAATTTTAGGGCTGCAGCTAACTATGATTTTTAGTACTTGAAGCTTCTACAGATTATTTCAGAGATTCCTCGATGTATCGTTTTAACCCCTAAAATCCACTGACTCTGGCTACGGTGTGTTACGGCTGCGCCGCGGTTGGCGGCCATTATAGTCAATGCTTTTGAGTCCACCAGACGCGGGCGCAGCGCGTCCCAGAAGCGGATCTCCACTCCACAGAGAAACCACATCTATTTTTGATGCAAGCCGCGTCAAGCAGCACACAGAAGATCGAACCAGGCAGTAAGTCAGACAAACAACGGCATAGAGAATCCGGGCAATTTTCAAAATAAAACACCCTGTGGAGAATAAACACTGTTAAAACGGACACAAAAAGAAATCATTTAACTACATAGCCTACATAATCATAGTAGAAACACACAATGCAAACACTGATTACAAAATCTAAACATGTCGGCCTTAACGCGCTGGAGTCAGTGGATTTTGGAGGTAAGAAGTACTTTTGCTTGGCTCCACCTCCTCCACTTTGCAAACAGCGGCATCATAATCACGTCGTGTTCATACAGCGTAAGTGCGAATTGCGACAGTAAGAAATGTCCGTGCAAAATGCAAATAATTTGCGTCGATGCTTTTTAGTAATCAAATTAATTGATGAATCGTTTCATCCCCATATGACTTTGTGAAAAATTTGGAAGTATATTTATAATTTAAGTCTCAAAGAAACCCTTAATAGTGCAAGTAAAATAACGGCTTTCTTTTGATGTAAAATCTGATTTCTTTGACACTGACCTGTTCCGCAAGGGATGGATCACCAAAATCAGTCAGTTCACCAAAATCACAAATAAACTCAAATTGGTTTACTGGAAGGAAAAAAAAAATATTTAATTTGGATGGAACGTTATTTTTATCCTTTTAATCATAATTCATTTAGCAAATTACCTGTAGGTTTGCACAAACCTAAACTCGGTTTGGATGGTTGCTTTCATGTCAGAGGAAACTCACTAACTAATCTTTTTGGAACCGGTAGAGTGATACCTGATATTGAGCGATTTAAGAGGTGAGCGAATCTGAAATGATTACTCTGATCATTTCTGAAAGTTCTTTCAAGATGATAAATGCAACTTATGAGATACATGTATCTAATTGTGTAGCCTTATCAAATATTTTGTTCTGTAGTAGACAATGGGAGATGTATTTAGATTATGTTCTATGATGTAAAAATATGTAAAACGCGGGTGGAAAGTCACCACTGTTAACCAGTTATGTAAGGCGATTTGTATTTCATAACTTAATTGATGTTTAAATGCATATAAGTATCTCCCCCACCCCACCCAAGTCTCTACCTTTCTGGTGTTTTGATTAAACTACACTAGACATTAATGATTGCAACAGAATGAGTCATTTAAATTTTTTTTTATATATAGATGCTTTTTTCACCACATTATCAGGGACCATCCCAAATTTGGAGGTTCATTTTGTGGGGAAGATGGAGAAGGTTAAACAAAATAGTTTGGTAATAAATCAGCTGAAAAGACTTAAGTGGGGAATTCAAACAATTTCACATTGAAGACACACAAATTGACAGTTAATACAGCTAAGGAAATGTAAATCCATTGTTTTACTAGTAAACCGGGGTGAGATTTGCATGTTTACTTGCGTACACAAAAGTGAATGTGTAAGAAACAGTCATATATTATGCTACTTGAAGAGATGATTCGGTCAGAGGTTGAAGGTGGAGTGAGAGCTCGGGAAGGAACAGTTTCCCATACTGTGTGCATATGTCTGAATTTTACTAATGGCCTGCTTGTAACTACAAACTAACACGAATGTGCAGCGACAAGTAATGATCATTACTCCTGCGCTGCCTCAAGATTTGGCACATGATTTCAATCAGATACTTGGAACACACAGAACAGATCAGAACACACATGTACCCTCTATTTAATGCACAGACTGTTCAGAGGTCTCAAAGGGTTTGATCAGAGAACAGCCTCAGTTTAGAACTAGCCTTTAATGTACAAATGTATTACAGAGCCAAGTCTTTGGAATGCAATGCACTGGATGAATAGCTTGAATGAAAATGCAAGGGAGATTATATTTGCAAATATATACATACAATCAGTTGAAGTCAGAATTTGCAAATGGTCTTTACACACCTTATAAGTTCTGAAACCCAAAAATATATTTTCTGCGCAAATTTTTAAAAGTTGTTGCTACAGTCAACCTGTTCTTTCCATTTCATGCTCTGGAGGTGTTTGGGTTAGAAAAGATATATTAAATATTCACTAATACAGGCCAAATACAGTTCAAATTAAATATGTGACACATGAGCAAAAAGTTTTGGCTGTTTGTTTTTTAATTATTACTTACTGTCAGTTCCAAGGTGAAGCCTATCGCTTACACCACATTGATTAAAATGTTGACTGACGAATGTCGTGCCACATTGAAGTATTTGCCTGAAGGAATCTGTTTCTGTGAATAAAATGCACACAGCTAAATCTGCTTTTGTTTTTTTTTTTAATTGTTGCTGGATGTCTGCCTAAAAGATCTTTTGAGTTTTAAATATTTTATGTTCTCTGAAATCTTTAACTAAGTGACTTTGGTTCTGCAGTGAATGGAATAATGGGGGCAGTGGGAACCTCTGCGGTTCATGTAGAATTTTGGTGCTCAACTCAAAACACTATTGCATCTTAAGTTTTTTAAGTGGAGTTTTCTTGACATGTCATTCCAGGTGTGAAATGATTATAGCTAACTAGACTGCAACTGTTTTTTTTGTTTGTTTTTTTTACACATTTTTGCAGTTATTTGAACTGCCTGACCTCCACACCAGAAGCAATGACTGTATATATATATATATATAATGAAATGAATGAGAGCACAAAATTCATGTTTAGACTTAATGACATGTTAGTTAATATCACTTTTTCCCCTAACTATAATGTAGAATTATAAAAATGTTGTATATTACAATATTTGTTAATGATGATTGATTGATTTCAATGCTGTTTGTCATATTTTAAATTCATTTTAAATTTAAACCAAAGAAACGTTACCAAAGAGCAAACCTTGGGCTTTTGATCTTTGTCCAGGTAGAGGTTTTCAGCCTAGGGGTAGTTAATGATTAATCGTTAAGTTGGGGAGGGGGGAAAACTCATCTGTTCTCTGGGTTTCTCTTTGCTTGTGAAATGTCAAAGTCCTCAGGACCCACATGATCATGACCATAAAAAAATCCTCCATGATTTTGGAAACCTTTCACTTAACCACACTATTATAACAATGAGCCAATGAGCTTTGCTGTGGATACACATGGCACTTGGAGGATGACTCCTAAATGAACAGAATGCAATGAAATTAACTGCTCTTAGTAAGCTAATACTACCAATAAGGAGGACTCATTTTTCTTTTGCACAGCCCATGAACGATATTTTTTTTGTAGGGGTCAAATGTCTACTTTGTACACAAGGTATGCAGAATTAGTGTACAGATTTCCATGAATTTTGCTGTGTAATGTCAAAGTCCTCTAAAATGTCTCTGGTAATGTCAGCAGGGCTAAAAATGCTGTTTTTTTTAATAAAAGACCCCTGGTCTCTCTAGTGCCACCGTGAGGCCAATATTCCCACTTGTACACAAGAAATCTAATGGGCAGCAACACAGCTATGAAATTTATTAACTAACTGACTAAATCTATTCTCTCCAGAGGAGCTTTCGTCTTCCATCACCCTCGGGACAACACATGAGCATGAAATCTTTTTTCTATTATTTACAAGGCTACGGTGTCTGCGATATGTTTATGGAGGGCAGCGATGAGTGCACGATGCTTTCAGTTTACTTCAAATGCACACGAAGAAGTCCACAGCGGAAGTAAGTATGTCTGTGTCAAGTAGGCACGCGTAAGCACTTCTGTTTCATGATATCCCACTCAATGTAAAAGCGTTTCACGACCACAAAGAAAATATATCAGAATCCACGGGGAATTGTATGCGTGTGTACTGAAATAATAAAGAACATATATTTTATGCTTCTGTGCAATTTTACAGTGCACCACAAAAACCATGACTCAGACGAATCAGGAACTCCTTTTGGTCCTGTTTATTCTGGATAATCCACAGACCTTAAGTTTACAGTTTTCATTGTGAACTGTTTTCTACCCAAGGTAAATATAGTGAAAACTTTAAAGAGTTGGGGACAGTGACTACCGGTAAGTACATTTACTCAAGTACTGTACAAATTTGAGGTACCTGTAGGAGCTTTAATAGTTACTTTACAATTAAGATTTTTACACAAAAGACATATTAAGAGTTTAAAAAATATGATGTTTTGTTATAAAACTACCCAACAGTCTATACAAGTACAGGTGAAATGATAAGTCAGTTGAGAGTCAGATTTGCTACTTTTCCTTTTAATTATTTGAATGTTTTGTTAATAATGTTGAGCTTTGGACTATTGGTGGGGAGAAAAAAAAAACTTTGGTCTCTGGGTAACAGTGATGGCATTTCTCACTACTATCAGAACAATGAATCGATTAATGGAGAAAATAATAATTAATATTATAATAATAAGCAAAATAATTGTTAGTTGCAGTCCAATACAAAATAGTTCAAAATGTGCTCCAGCTCAACAACTGCAGCAGAAAAAAGCGTAACAGTAAGAATAGCCTACTTTTAATACTTTAAATACATTTTCCTGAATATACTTACATACTTTTACTTAAGTAACATTTTCAATGCAGAACTTTTAACAGAGTAATTTAACAGTTTATTAGTACTTTCAATAAAGGATCTGAATACTTCGTCCACCACTGCAGTTGTTACAAAATGTCACCACTGTACGGTATGGTGGACTTTTTAAAAACCCTTTTACCCCTTTTACTAAATACTGACACAGTATATTCAAATTCGTGAGGCTTTATTTTGAAATTTTAGACAGGAAGTCTTCAGTTCCCCAACACAAGTGGCTTTTGCTCTGTCTCATTTCACACTACCAACGCTAGAAACTACAAAGTTACTCTAGGAAACGGATACTTTTACGATTAATGCGTATTCATGGGGGGTAAGAATAAACAGCGAACTAAAGGAAATGTTCGGGTAAGTATCACTTTCTGTAACGTAACCTACAAGGTTAAAGTAAGACTGCTAGCAACAAGCCGACCACAAGCTAATGTAAACTTCATGTTACAGTTAACGCTAACTTACGTGTGGCTGTGTTGTCCCAACTCTTTCATAACCACGACGTGTCTGTCTGGGCTAACGTCACTGCTTTTATGAGATTTTCTATAACCGCGCGTTTCTCTCCCGCTACCAGCCGTCCAGTAGCGGTCGAGCTGCTGAGGTACTGACCCGGGAGGGAGGTGTCATCCCGGGGTTTGTGGGCTTCGACTCAACGGTCACGGAGCTGAGTTACGTCCCAGCTGTCCACGGCGCGGAGGACATAGACAACCTGGTTGATGCTGATTTCAGACTGGTGCTCAGGAAACTCTCGAAGAGGGATGTTGTCACCAGACTGAAAGTGAGTTTAAACGTCAGCTAACTGCATGGTCTTCTGTGCAGCCACACACAGGTACCATGCAAATATATAAAACATCTATGTTACAACCTTTAAATAACATAAAACACAGTGTTCATGAAACATGAAAAGCTATCTCATCTGGTGTGTTGAAGTCACCCCAGAGTGTTTTCCAGGTCCAGGTGTGTGTCTTGATGCTGTGTACTCTTGTCAGGCTGTGCAGGACTTTGGGTCCATGTGTCAGGAACGGGATGCTGAAGAGGTTAAAGGGGTGCTGCCATACTGGCCCAGGATTTACTGCAAGATATCAGTGGTGAGCTGGTCATTCACCACACAATCATGAAATGCCCTTTGTTTACCTGTGTCACATTACTTTTAACATTCTGGAAATAGTGCATAAATACACAGTCTATCATTATAGATATTTGATCAGTCCCATCCTACCCTAGCAAATGAAAGAATTCAGTTAATGATGGGGATGGGGTCATATTAAGGAAGACACTGGACTTTAATGTGTGTGAGTGCAATTGTGTGAGGAATTTTGTCTTTGTCGTTAATGTATATCAGGACCATGATCGCCGGATCAGGGAGGCCACCCAGCAGGCCTTTGAGCAGCTGGTGCTGAAAGTGCGTCGCAGCTTGGCCCCCTTTCTGAAGAGCTTGATGGGCCACTGGATTCTGTCCCAGTGTGACACTTACACACCGGCAGCCTCTGCTGCGTGTCAGGCCTTCCAGGCCGCTTTCTCACCCACCAAGCAGCCTGAGGCTCTGAGCTTCTGCAAGGATGAGATCCTTAACGTGAGTTATAGTGGCTTTTGGAGCGGACAAGGGGATTTGCGCTGTAATGTACTGAGCTAAATGTAACAAATAGTTATTTTTTTAATATTGCAGGTACTTCAAGATATTTTGTTGAAGGAAACGGCAGACACACTGAGCGATAAGTAAGTTAACAGTTTAAATCAATATAGCCTCTGTGTGAATTCCTCTCACTGTGCACGGCAGCACAACGATAGTATATTCTCTCAGAGTCACGGGTTCCCCCTGTTCTCTAGAAGTGTGACAGAGGAGGAGCGAGAAGCCAAATATGTGCGCATGCTGACCAGTTCTCTGCTGGGGGTGAAGAGACTGCTCTTCCTGCTGCTCCAGGATGACAGGAGGGCCCTGGAGCAAAGACTAGCACATCTTGTGAACTCCGGGAAGTTCTGGAAGTACAGCAAACACAAGACACCACAGGTAATGGCATTGAATAGGAGTAGGACTGCTCTGCTAACAACAGATGTTGGAATGCGTATGCATGTAATTCATGAACTAATTCACCTGATACTGGAACATAATGCACTCAACTTTCACTCAACTAAAATAAGCTACTGAAGGTTTATTCTTCCCCTTGAATTTCATATATTATAAATCATAAAGTCTTGAGTGGGTTTTTGAGTAAAGTTTGATAAAGTATTTGAATTTTTCTTTGGATTCATGGAATTTATCTCCTGTTACTGTTGCTACATTTCTATGTCAGATGTAATGGCAAAATGTTAGAGAAAACTGTTTTCCCATTAAGTGAACTAATTCTTCATTTTAGTTTAAATTTTGTTAACCAATCTGTCCCATACCTACACTTGAGTTGACTATACATAAAATGATAAAACTACGTGAGATGTTAAATTATATCTGTTTGTGCTGGCAAATGCCACCTAATATACACGCAATAACCTGTTGTGAAGAAGATATTTGTCTAATTAGTATTCGCCTCCCCCTCTTAGGTACGAGGGGCCTTTTTCGAGATGATGTGTGCTCTGTGTGAGTTCACTCCAGAACTGGTCCGGTCTGAAGCAGCACGGCTCTGCCCAGCCGTCCTCCTCAGCATTGAAGACACAGATCCGTTGGTGCTGCCTCCTGTGTGGGAGGCTGTTCTCCATGTTGTGTCCACAATCCCTGTAAGCTTGTGTTATAAAGGATGATCTCACATATACAATAATGTTAATACCATTATATTGTT